TACAGCGGTCGGAATGTGAAACTGTCAGTGTTATTGTGTGCTGCCTATACTTCAATTCACCAAGCCTCGTAATGGCCTATTTCTTATTTTCACTGACAAGGCACAGATGGTTGTGGCCTGTTCCAAGTTTCACTCCTGATTCAGCCATCTTTCCTTGTCTATCACTGTAAGATCCACTGCCACCGGGTTGACATCAAATTGCAGTAACATAATAATCTTTTCTTCTTTCAGGTATTTCAACATTTCTTCTCACCCGAGGTACGTATTTTACTCTTCCCGTAGGCAGTCTGTTGGTTATTTCCACATGGGCTCTCCACTGTCTTCTGTATCACTCAAAATCCTTTACTGTTTGGATATGACGTTGTTTAAAAGTTGGCTGTAAAGGTTTCTGTCTTTGGGAATGTACGGATGAGTAGTCCACCGAAAGTCCGCCCACTTTATGCCGGTTTCTTGCATGGCTTAATCCTATAACCTGAAGATGGAGATGCTAATTTCCCCCCAAACGAGGGGTTACTTTCCCCGTAGAGCAAGGCGTTTCATACCAGAAGATTAGAAGTCCTTGTTCCTTTGAGTGTTAGCTGCACATCATTTCTCTCGTTTCATTGCACATATGGTCGCTTAGAGTACTGTTTAATAATTAAGCAGTTGAGAATTATTTTTGTTTAATAAATTAAGAATTCGTAACTTGTAATATTGAATCTAAAGGAGTTAGTAGCATGTAATTTGGAAACATTAAAGGGAGAAAAGCCAGTGTAGAGGAACATTTGCTACAAATGGAGATTTGTTGTTGGCAACTAAGCTTCTGTTTTCAAATGACTTTGATCTCTGATCCCTCCTTAATACCAGGAATGGAATACTGATGGCTCTCCGACCATAAGGCGGAGTAGCGTGGCAAAGAATTGTTGAAATTGCTGGTCAGCGCCCCCTGTATCCCAGCCAATGGGCTACAGGCAGGGTCTGCCCGCACCCTGCTGCCGCATCACATGTGGCTTCGTACTATGTTAATCGCACACGTTTCGAGATGACTCGTGACTGCGTTGGTCAGTGCTGGGTAACGAAACAAATCATCATCTTGTAGTTATTTGCTACTTAATGGCGATGTCAGCAAATCACACTCACTGTGTATGTTGTGTCAACTGACTGGATGATATGTAGGTGCTCTCGGCCGGGACACTGTGTACGTGAGCTTGTTGGTGGCTGTACACACTTAGATGGAATTGGAATTTCAGTATTAGTGATGTTCGTGTTACTCTTTCCCAAGAAAACTGACTACAACTTCAATATCACAGACTATATTTGGTGGAGTTAGTGGTGGTATTAGTGTTGGTGGTGCCACTGTTATGATTCTTTTTATGTAGTAAACCATATTTAATGTATGTGCGCTAGCTCATACACATGCAGCATAGCTTGTATTCAGTATAACTGCATTTTCAATTGCCGGAGAAGAGTTGCAGTTGCTACAATTACGTCCAGGTATGGGAAGTACAGTGGAACCTCGCTTAACAAGCATAATTCCTTCCAGAATCTTACTCGTAATGCAAAACACTTGTTGAACGAAACATTTCTTCCCATATAAATTAATGTAAAATACAATAATGCTTACCATGCCGAAAAGAATACTAAAAAAATTTGATGTATAAAGTTTATTCAAAGAAATTTATATACAGAATGTCCCAGGAGGAATGTGCCAAATTTCGGGAGGGTCTTCCTTATGTTAAAGTATGCTGATATAACCCAAAACACCTATGTCCAAAGTTGAACGGTTACGGAGATAATGGCCAGAGAAGTGTGAATCTTTGACCGGTGTTACACACTTGTTGATTACAAAATACATATTAAAACTGACAGGAATATGTGCTTTCTGTAATGTTAATAATGTACGTAACATCAAACTAACTTGTGAGTGACATGAAGCCATTAAATTGAACTACAAAGAAACTCGCACGCCATATCATAGTTGTCCTTAGGGTTCCAAGCACTATACATGACACATGACACATGACTGGCAAGCGCTGACATAACATGGCGCATACTGGTGTAAGCCGACTACATAACTGTACTGAACATACATTCAGGGAAAATCTCTTTTGGAATTTCGTTTCCATTATCTCATGTGGCTTATTATGGGACCACGTATGAACATTTTGTAAATTATTTACACCGTCCAGGGTAAAAGACGCCTAATCACTGAATAAAATGACGCTTAACAGTTTGGGATGAGCTTTTATCCAGTGGCACAAATCCATACGATGTACATGGTCGCCTGGTTCCAGATGTACCCTTTGATCATGGTAGGGATACAACTCTTCATCATGTAAAGTTCGCCACGCCTGCATATGTGATATGCCAATGCGAGAGCCCATTCTACAGGTGGACAGACGCGGACTTCTCTGAACCATCTCAAGACTGTTCTCTCGTGTGTTTATCATTCGTACATCCTACATTCCAGAGTGCACAGAAACACTCAGAAGAGAACCAGCATCACGCAATGTCTGGTGAATTCGCATTAATACACTTCGAGATGGAATCTTTCGATCAGGAAAACGCCTTTGGTGTTCATCAACAGCAGCAAGTGCATTGCCACCGCAAATTCCACACATAAAATGCATATCACAATATTCCACTTGTGAAAACACAACAGGGATTTCAGCAACTCCTCACAACTAATTACCATCCATTCACGAAGCAGCCGTAACGTACTCTGTACGTAGCACATGAGCTTATGGCTAGTGTGAATCACCACACTCAAGGACAAACATAGATAAGACGTCTCAGCTGACAGGTATAGTGCGTGGACCCGCCAGAATATCACACTTTTCTCAGGCCATTGTCTCTGTAACCGTTCAACTTTGGACATAGGTGTTTGGGTTATATCGGCATACTTTAACATAAGGAACACCCTCCCGAAGTTTGGCACATTCCTCCTTTGACACCCTGTATACATTGTTATGGAGCGTGAATCATCTTTTCTTCTATGCGGAATGAACCAACCTGGCCAGGCAATGAACTATCCTCTGCTGTTATATAGATGTGCTTCGGCCTTGCAATTGCTTTTTGTTTATCCATATGAGCACCCTTTCAACATCGAGAATATGTAACCATTGCGTAGATATTCTTGTCACTCCCTTTGAAGCACAATCTTCTTAATCTTGTCCTTGTTCTTGAGGACAGTGCAAATCGTTGATGTAGACCAATTGTATGTGTGTGCTAGATCAGCCACACTCACACCTTGTTCTTGCTTTTCAATGATTTTGCGTTTCATTTCTATGGTTATTTTTATTCTCTTATGGCTGTCTTTCTGTGGCACAAAAAAAAAATCACAAATGTGTCTGAACACAAGTCTGGAAAAATGTGTGATCACAAGCGGCACTAAGATGCTAGCGGAACAAGTGCTAAACACACACTGATGTAACAAGCACACAATCCAAGACTTCCCCTTCCGTCACTCATTAAGAGTAATTTTTTTACAATTTGTTTTGCTTGTTATGCGAATTACTCGTTATGATAGGTGCTCGTTAAGCGACATTCCACTGTACTATATTCCTGTACAAGCAGAATCAAACCACCTTCATTTAACTTTCTTTTTATAATCAATATACCAAGTATCCTGCAAACAGATATCTCATCTGCAATGTCCAACATAGCATAGTTTGTATTCATCTGACCAATCCATAACAGTTATTTCAATATACTCAATCCAAGCGATATATCAATCTGAAACTAACTGTTCAACGAATTTACTCACATGAAATGGCAGACGGGTACAGATAACATACAGCAAAATACATATGATGCTGCTAAATTATGTTTATAAGCTTTCGATCCATTTCAGTGATACACTCTACTAATTATTCGCTTCCAGTGCTGAATTAATATCGTAACTGCAGGAGAGTGTCATATCGTGTCTTGTCTGTTTCCACTCAAAAAGACAGGGCATTGCACACATTCAGCAATCAGAATCAAATGGAACTAATTTGCACAGATGTTTTGTACCATGGGACTCAATTCATTTCCCATCAATTCAAAAGGTTAGCAACAGCAAACAGCTCCAATATATTGTAGCATTCTATATGCCACACACAGTAAAACTGTCTTACTTACAACATGAGAAACTGTTGCATGCTACAAGTCGCATACTGTTCCTTTAGACTACACCCATCTCAACTGTTCTATGATTTACTGCTACATGAACATGTAAGCGCTTGTGTTTCTTCAGACTACTCCGCATACTGAACGACTTTTTACATACATCACAACAAAACGGCTTCTCCCCACTATGTATGCGCTGATGTGTCTTCAGACTACACTGCTGACTGAATGACTTTTTACATACATCACAACAAAACGGCTTCTCCCCACTATGTATGCGCAGATGCGTCTTCAGATTACCCTGCATACTGAATGACTTTTTACATACATCACAACAAAACGGCTTCTCCCCACTATGTATGCGCAGATGCATCTTCAGATTAACCTGCGTACTGAATGACTTTTTACATACATCACAACAAAACGGCTTCTCCCCACTATGTATGCGCAGATGCGTCTTCAGATTACCCTGCATACTGAATGACTTTTTACATACATCACAACAAAACGGCTTCTCCCCACTATGTATGCGCAGATGCGTCTTCAGATTACCCTGCATACTGAATGACTTTTTACATACATCACAACAAAACGGCTTCTCCCCACTATGTATGCGCTGATGCGTCTTCAGATTACCCTGCATACTGAATGACTTTTTACATACATCACAACAAAACGGCTTCTCCCCACTATGTATGCGCTGATGCGTCTTCAGATTACCCTGCATACTGAATGACTTTTTACATACATCACAACAAAACGGCTTCTCCCCACTATGTATGCGCTGATGCGTCTTCAGATTACCCTGCATACTGAATGACTTTTTACATACATCACAACAAAACGGCTTCTCCCCACTATGTATGCGCTGATGCGTCTTCAGATTACCCTGCATACTGAATGACTTTTTACATACATCACAACAAAACGGCTTCTCCCCACTATGTATGCGCTGATGCGTCTTCAGACTACACTGCTGACTGAATGACTTTTTACATACATCACAACAAAACGGTTTCTCCCCACAATGTATGCGCAGATGCGTCATCAGATTACCCTGCGTACTGAATGACTTTTTACATACATCACAACAAAACGGCTTCTCCCCACTATGTATGCGCAGATGCATCTTCAGAGCACCCTGCTGACTGAATAACTTTTTACATACATCACAATAAAACGGCTTCTACCCACTATGTATATGCTGATGTCTTTTCTGATGGCTCCGCCGACTGAATGACTTATTACATACATCACAACAAAATGGCTTCGCCCCACTATGTATGTGCTGATGTCTCTTCTGATGGCTCATATAACCGAATGACTTTTTACATACATCACAGCAAAATGGCTTCTCCCGACTATGTATGCGCTGATGCTTCTTCAGATGACTCTGCAGACTGAATGACTCTTTACATACATCACAACAAAACAGCTGCTCCGCACTATGCATGCATTGATGTGCTCTCAGAATTACCTGCTGACTGAATGATTCACCACAGTCATCACATGAATATTGTCGATCCTCACCATGTACGGGTTGAAGTTCATTCAAATTACCCTGGAAAATGAGAGTAAATAACATGAAAAATCCTAATAGGAAGTGAAATAAGTTTGAAGCCCCAGTACAGTGAGATGTTAAATCAGTACGCGTGAGAGTGGTGACAGAGACGGGAGGGAGGGACAGAGAGAACACACCCCCTTGTGTGGTTTTTGCCTGAGTCCATGAGCATGTATGGAGATTTCTGATTCAACAGACGTTAAGCTGCACTGCCACTGTTTAACAACTTCCAAATTAAATAAAATTTTGCATTTGTAAGGCTGGACTGGCATCTAATTAACCTTTAACGGCCAAATGTTATGAGGTAGGACACATGCTCTCTAGGGAGTGCTGACAGTTTGACCTTGGGTTTGAAAACAGAACAAACGCTCCTAAGGTCATGAAGAATGAAATCGTTTATCATGGTACTGGTTTCAATACTATTTATGTTTAGATATGACTGTTTATGACCTGGTCAGCCAAATATAGAACAGCTTTGTTTCGAGAACTGATGAGGAAATATTCATCGGTGCTTGCATATGAGTCTGTGGGAACTGCCCACATTCAAGCAAGTGTGACAACGCAAGTGTCATTGCTTAGCAACAACGAGTAAACAACGGTTGCTAGGCAAATGCGAGTAAACAGCGGTTGCTAGGGAACTTGTAAACACGGTATCTGGCAACAGCAGTACCTATTATGTAACCTTTTTCTATATTTCCGACTCCAGGCTACATAAGAAGATACACTGAGTTACAGTGACAGTCTAGTTCTACCGTTCTACGATTCTAGTTCAGTGTTCAAGCAGTTCACTATTGTTGTTATCCATCTGTGTATACTGTGCAGCTGCAATAAATCCTATAGGATAGTTCAACTAGTGGTTGTCACTTCATTCATACGACATCCCACAAGTGCTTCCAGAGCCTTCAAGGAAGTGTGCCGCATTCAAGCATTGCTTTTCAATGGCGAATTATCAGTCAGGAAGTCAGTGTCGGATTGTCTAATATTTCTTTATCAGTTAAAAAGTCAGTGTCAGACTGTCATATAATTCTTTGTATATCACTTTTATTTCATGTCTAGGAAGAGGTCTAAATCCCCTGAGCCAGCATTACTTTGTGAGTAAAAAGCTTCTTTGTCACTGTGACTATTGGTATCAGTGTCGGACTGGCAATCTTTTCGACTAGTATTATAATTACTTTGCAACACTATTTTGCGAGTATTACTAATAGGTGAGAGTGTCGCTTTGTTAATCAACACAATTTATTCGATTTTGCTAGAAACCCCCTCCCCCAAGATGATTCTTCAATCGCACAAGGCGAATATCACGGTCAGTGGCGCTTCTCGGGGGGAGGCCAACAGTCACATCACTGGCCAATGAAAGGGAAACAAAGACATCATGCCTTTCGCTAAATAATAAAAGCAGGAGAACAGTCTTCTATTGTAAAAAGTGTGATGTTGCTCTGTGTGAAGTGGACTGCTTCGAGAAGTTCCATGAGCATCAGTGTGCGTGTGTATCGTATACTGTGAAGTGACACAGTTAAAACTCTTGTACAGTCTGAACAAAATATTATCGTATATAGTGGTTAATTGATTATATTTACAATATCACCATGATTCAAGGTTGAAGAAAAAACATTGGGTAAGTCCTTTGGAATTTCATAACATATATAATAAAGATTATATTTTGCATTTCATGACAAAATAATCACAGTTAATTTTCGTTGGTAAAAATTGCTCTTCTGTGTACATGTAGAAAATTTTATTGTCTTTCAAGTTCTTTTTAGTTTGTATTTCTATGTTGCATAGAACAGAAAATATGTATTTTTTCTGAAAGTTTGCAATGTCAATCAATTAGGGTGATTTAAATACCGGATGCAGAGGGCTGCCGGGAATTTAAAAGTCCATACATTAAAGGTTAATAGTGGATAGGCTGCTAAAACGAAATAACAATAAAGGCTGAGCTAAAAATGATACTAAGAAAGGCTGCATATAGACCGGCAAAACCATCCTACACGTGACTATATATATATATATACAGGTTGTGCCAGGAGGAATGTGCAAAACTTCGGGAGGGTGTTCCTTATGTTAAAGTAAGCCAATATAACCCAAAACACCTATGTCTAAAGTTGAACGGTTACGGAGATAATGGCCTGAGAAAAGTGTGGTCTTCTGGCGGGTCCACGCACTGTACCTGTCAGCAGAGACGTCTTATCTATGTTTGTCCTTGAGTGTGATGATTCACACTAGCCATAAGCTCATGTGCGGCTACGTCATCAATAGTTGGTAATTAGTTGTGCGGAGTTGCTGAAATGCCTTTTGCGTTTTCACATGTGGAATATTGTGATATGCATTTTGTGCGTGGAATTTGCAGTGGCAATGCACGTGCTGCTGTTGAAGAAAACCATAGACAATTTCCCAATCAAAGGATTCCATCTCGAAGTGTATTTACGCAAATTCATCAGACATTGCATGATACTGCTTCTCTTCCGAGTGTTTCTGTGCACTCTGAAAGGTAGGATGTATCAATGACAAATACACAAAGGAACATTCTTGAGATGGTTCAGAGAAGTCCGCGTCTGTCCACTCATAGAATGGCCTCTTGCATCGGCGTATCACGTATGAAGGTGTGGCGAACTTTACATGATGAAGAGTTGTATCCTTACTATGACCAAACGGTACAACATCTGGAACCAGGCGACCATGCACAGCGTATGGATTTGTGCCACTGGATAAAAGCTCTCCCAAACTGTTAAGAGTCATTTTATTCAGTGATGAGGCGTCTTTTAGCCTGGACGGTTTAAATAATTTACAAAATGTGCATACGTGGTCCCATAATAATCCATATGAGATAATGGAAACGAAATTCCAAAAGAGATTTTCCCTGAATGTACATTCAATACCGTTATGTAGTCGGCTTATACCAGTATGCGCCATGTTATGTCAGCGCTTGCCAGTCATGTGTCATGTGTCATGTATAGTGCTTGGAACCCTAAGGACAACTATGACATGGCGTGCAAGTTTCTTTGTAGTTCAATTTAATGGTTTCATGTCTCTTACAAGTTAGTTTGATGCTATGTGCATTATTAACATTACAGAAACCACAAGATCCTGCCAGTTTTAATATGTATTTTGTAATCAAAAAGTGTGTAACACAGGTCAAAGTTTCACACTTCTCTGGCCATTATTTCCGTAACCGTTCAACTTTGGACATAGGTGTTTTGGGTTATATCGGCATACTTTAGCATAAGGAACACTGTCCCAAAGTTTGGCACATTCCTCCTGGGACACCCTGTGTATATATATATAATGTGTGTGTGTGTGTGTGCGCGCATGTGCATGCGCGTATAAAAGGCTTCAAAAAGAATAATAGCATAGTGTCAGTTAAATAGACATATCCATCCTGATACCATGAGCAAATCCATATGAGTCATCTCCTAGGTTGCCCACAAGTTTCCTTGACAATGTAAACGTTTGGCTCTTGCCAGAAAATGGCCACTACTTCTGCATGTGTGAAATGGTATTGGGCACACCACACTGTGTAGAAGCAGGAGTACATAGGTACATAAAATGTATACAGAAGTATGCAGTCTACACAACAACATTCTACATTTAAAAGCAAGTAGACACTATCATATCAACATTCGGTTTTATTGATGCTACATGTGTTAACCCTTCTAATGGGTCACCATTGGGCATACAATGATACCAGACTCAGTTGGTGAATTGCATTTAACAATTTGCAACTAATTCTTCAATAAGGATCCATATTGTGCACTTGAGTGTTTTTAAATACATAAATTGAATCTTTCAGTTAAATTTTAAAATACTCAAGCAATAGAATTTAAAAATTATCGACTAAAGATTAAAACATAAAAATTACAATTGTACTACAATGGAAATGAAATGTTTTTTCATAACTCTTTAAAACGCTAAGCGTTTACGTGTTTTTTGGTGGTAGAAGTGACTACAGTGTGGGGCACCTGCGTATCGGGGTCTTCTCTCATGAGTTAGGTCGTGTGGTCTTGACATTCCTGTATTGTCTTGTGGAACTTATGCTCACTATTCTGCATGACACCCAACAGGTTGTTTATTCAGAGTGATCTGTAACAGTTTCTTAATTATTATAAGGAGAAGCTTGTGAGTGTTTTTAAACTCATTGTTAGCTTACCATAAATTTGATTTTCTTATGATATGTGAATGGGTTGCTCCTTGTGTTGATGTTGTCGCTATGCTGTAGCGGTTCAGTCTAGACTACTTGTTTGGGGGGTATCTGTATATGTGTATGGGCTGCTCCCTGTGTTGATGTTGTCACTATGCTGTAGCAGTTCGGTCTAGACTACATGTTTGGGGGGGTATCTGTATATGTGTATGGGCTGCTCCCTGTGTTGATGTTGTCACTATGCTGTAGCAGTTCGATCTAGACTACATGTTTGGGAGGGTTTCTGTATATGTGTATGGGCTGCTCCCTGTGTTGATGTTGTCACTATGCAGTAGCAGTTCAGTCTAGACTACTTGTTTGGGGGATATCTGTATATGTGTATGGCCTCCTCCCTTTGTTGATGTTGTCACTATGCTGTAGCAGTTCGGTCTAGACTACATGTTTGGGGGGGTATCTGTATATGTGTATGGGCTGCTCCCTGTGTTGATGTTGTCACTATGCTGTAGCAGTTCGGTCTAGACTACTTGTTTGTGGAGTATCTGTATATGTGGGTATGTTTGTGTAGAATCGAGTGGTATGAGATAAAGGGGAGGCTACTGTGAGTGGCTGAAGAGATACGGAAGGGGTGTGGTTATTTGGTGTGTGTGTTTTTGCTAGAATGTCGAATATGGGATTATGTATTTCTGTAAATATATCGTTCATCTGTAGACCCTTCTTCCTTATGTATCACATATATAACATGTTTCTAATGTGTTGAGTTTGCGTCCTTCCTTTATATATAATATTTTCATAGTCTGGTCCATCGAGCCAAATGTATATCCAGCTTCCAAAATGTGTTATGTGAATATAAATATAAATGCTATCA